AAAAAAAAAAAAAAAAAAAAAGTTTGGCTTGTTTCTGCCCAGCCACTGAGAACTACTGTTTTGGACAGGACAGGAAACCTTGGCGTCGATAAGGCTTCATGCACCTATTAAATTATAATTTGAGATAGATTACAACCAATTGCCAATTAAATTACAGTCAGAGGAACGTGGGGTTTATATTTGCCAAGAGCAAAATGGGTATTAAAATGTTTGTGGGGCGCCTGGGTGGTTCAGTTGGTTAAGCGTCTGACTCGATTCTGGCTCAGGTCATGATCTGACGGTATGTGAGTTTGAGCACAGAGCCTACTTGGGATCCTCTGTCTCCCTCTCACTGCCTCTGTCTCTCTCTAAGATAAATTCAAAAATATATAAAATGTTGTTTGGTGAGGGGCACCTACCTGGTGGCTCAATCGATAAAGCATCCAACTCTTGATTTCGGCTCAGGTCATGATCTCACAGTTCGTTAGATTGAGCCTCGCGTTGGACTCCATGCTGAGCACGGAGCCTGCTTGGGACTCTCTCCTTCTTTCTCTCTGCCTGTTCCCCAAAATAAACAAACTTTGGAAAATAATATAAAATAAAATGTTGTTTGATGATCAAAAGATGAGAATTAGGGAACTGGTAACAAAAGATACTCTAGAAGGAAAGCATTTATCTGAAGAAGATTGGTTTTCTATATTCCATGCTGCCCATGATAGCATTCCCTTTACAGGACGCCGGTCCACTGCTCTCAGGGTCGGATCCCTGGCTCGTTCTCTGTTGTGATTCTCATCTGTGGGCTTCAGTCTATGTTCCTGTCAGAGGGATCAAATCTGTCTTCAAGGTCTTTTCCTCTTTAACACTCTAGGAACTTTTAAGGAGATAGGTTGTTTTTCAAAGATTACATTTTACAGGGGTGTTGCTTGTGTGGTGATCGAGATGGGGAAAGATTGTGGAGTCTGCCGTCTCCACCTGGGATGGGGGGAGTTTCTCTTACCGTCACCAGTCAGTGAGTGGGTAGCCTTCCGAAGTCTGGGAGTGTTGGTCTGCCCTGACCTTTGCTTACTAGCTCCAAGATGCGTTCCGCTGAGAAAAGAACATCCCATTTTGTATATTTCCACTTACTCCTATCCAAAAGCCAACTTATCTTAAGGTTAGAGACTTGAAAAAACTAATCTGCAGATTTCTGTCATAACTGATAAAGGCCAACTTTTCTTTCCTTGGTTAGTTTGTTCTATCATGTTTTGGGTAAAGTAGCTGGAAACTGCAGTTATTTAAGAAGGAAAACAAAAGCTGGCCATTGTTTAGTGTTGTCAACATTTACCAATTTTTTAAATAAATGTTTAATGTTTATTTTTGAGAGAGAAAGAGAAACAGAGCATGAGCTGGGGAGGGGCAGAGAGAAAGAGGGAGACACAGAATCTGAAGGAGGCTTCAGGCTCTGATCTGTCAGCACAGAGCCCGATGTGGGGCTCGAACTCACGAACTGCGAGATCGTGACCTGAGCCGAAGTCGAATGCTTAACTGACTGAACCACCCAGGCATCCCCAACATTTTGACTTCTATTAGAAAATCCACCTATCTGAATATTTTAGTAAGTAAACAGCTGTCTACATAGAGAACCAGAAAGCTGTGAAAAATAAAAGTTCAGTTGGGTATTTACGCTTGGGAAAATATATCCAAAATAGAATGCCTGCGTTCGGTCTTCACAGAATTTTTAAATTTGAGATTACTGGAAAGAATAAGGAGAACAAATTAGGGAATATCAACTAGACCCTGTGGATTTCCCTCCAGAAAGTACTAAGCATGAAGTATGAATACCAAGTTGATTCAGTGATTTGTGAGAGAAGGACAAATAGAGTGACTGATGAACTGAACTAAAACGGTGAACATTTTTCTTTACATCTTGATTTTTTTATTTTGGCTTTTGTTGTGTTCTTTTAATGGATCTGGTTGGGAAGGAATTTTAGGAGTATGGAATAAATAGAACAGAACAAATAAAAAGGCATGTAACCTGTAACAAAAATAACATTTTAGCTGGGACTTCAAGCACACGAAATAAAAAATTTTGAGGTGATCTTTTTCCATGTGTGAGAACAAAGCTATATGTCACCATTTTCACCTGCAAAAACAAAATATGTGTTGCACTCCTGCGTCTAAGCTAAGAGATGATTTGTATCACTTCAGTGTTTACAAGGAGCCAAGGTATTTGGTTGTTGACGGATTATTTTCCTGAAGTTTTACATGTTTGTTTGTTTGTTTGTTTTTAATAGAGTCCTGTGAAGATAAATCAGATTAGCCTGGATGAAAGTGGAGAGCACATGGGTGTGTGTTCTGAGGACGGCAAGGTATGGCCATGACCTGGTGTCAGAAGCCATCTGAGGGCTGGGATGTCCCCCAACTGCAGGCACTTGGAAAAGCCTTCTGCTCACTGTACCCCTGCCTTAGGAGAGCCTTGACTCCTCTTTTTGGGTATTGGACCTGCTTCGGATTGCTCGTAATTAAAGTAAAATATATTTTGCACAAATGTGCCTGAGGAAAAGTAATTACAAGAATGTCAATAATGTAACTAGTATTAAGCTGATTAACAGCTGTGGCAGGGCAACGTGTCACCTTAATCATTATCCCTGTGCCACTTATACTTCAGTGACTAGTCTGCAGTTCCTGCAAGACAGTAGTTTAATGCCTTTCTGCCATAAATCCACAAAATTGGATTTTGTGGGTATGATTTCTGTGGGCCGGTGGTTTTCATTTCCACACAAGTTATGAATGTTTCTCTTGAATTATAGAATCTTTTGATAAGCAATCATAGTTTATCAGAAGAATAAAGTGTCTTACAATGGCCACATTAAATAAATGTAAAATCAATATATGTACAGTTTTCTAAAAACCTGGCACCCACTTCCTCAACCGAGGACATACATCATTTGTGTGGTGTGTAACTAACAATTATCAGTGCCTCTTGCTGGTGTTGAGCTGTGACATTTAGTGGCTGTGGTGATTGATTTTCCACTTATAAGAATGTCTTTTTTGTTTTTCAGTCGATGGAAGTCTTTTCTAATGTTGGTCTGCAATGATAAAATTCTAATGCATGGTGTATTTAAGCTACTTCTCTAAAATAACAGTTTCAGGAGAAAGTACATGAAGAGTCCTTCCAGAATCTCACATGATCCTGACCGAGTAGAATGCATTTCCTAACCTAATTTTGTATTTTTACATGACCTAAATTCAGTGGGTCATTAATATGAGTGGATGAAAGATCGTGTACTCCATCTAAAAAATGTATACCCATTTAATCTGTTAACAAGAGAAAAATGAAGTCCTCCCACAAGAATGCATTTTATTTTTATTTATTTATTTAAATTTTTTTTTAATGTTTATTTATTTTTGAGACAGAGGGAGACAGATCATGAGTGGGGGAGGGGCAGAGAGAGAGGGAGACACAGAATCCGAAGCAGGTTCCAGGCTCTGAGCTGTCAGCACAGAGCCCGATGTGGGGTAGAGCCTACGAACCCTGAGATAATGACCTGAGCCAAAATCGGTAGCTTAACCAACTGAGCCACCCAGGAGCCCCAAGAATGCATTTTACATGTCTAAGTTGAATGTTGCCCAAAGAGTCTTTTGAAATGGTAATCAGTAACCTCTTTGCTTTCCAAAGAGGACTGTCAGATTTTGCAGTACTTTCTAAAATTCTGTGGTCCACCAGATTGTCAGAGTTGAGGGAGGAGTTGGTATGTATGGAAATTGAGAATGATCCAAACTGTTGAAACCTTTTTACATTCATGGTTTGTACAGAAAGGTCAACTTTATTTTATTCTCTTAAAGAAAACAGAACAAAAAAGTCCTTGTGGACTGACAGCCAATTTAATTGAACTGAATTGGTTGAAAGAGAACATTCGTTTTTCAAACTGAAAAAGGATTTTTATTAAACTACTTTGTCAAGGAATTTTCGAAGCTTTAAATGTTGAATAATTATTATTTGTAGAAAAGTGGGAGATTTTAACTCTGGTGGATTATGACCCTCAGATATCATCTGCTGCACTTCTTGGCAAATAGCTGCTTTTTCGCTTGAGTCCAATTCCTCACTGTCCTATTTTGGTGTTGACCCAGGATACAGTAAGAAAAAAAATTTTTTTAATGTTTTATTTGTTTTTGAGAGAGAGAGAGAGAGCATGCAAGTGAGCGTGAGCGGGGGAGGGGCACAGAGAGAGACACAGAATCCGAAGCAGGCTCTAGGCTCTGCGCTGTCAGCACGGGGCCCAAACTCGAACTCGCGAACCGCAAGATCATGACCTGAATCAAAGTCAGCCACTTAACCGACTGAGCCACCCAGGTGCCCCAACCCAGAATACATTTTTTAAAAATACTTTTCACGTATGTTTTATTAGCATTGATAAAACTGAAAATAAATCTTCTGGTATGCATAATTTATATAAGCTAGCCAGTATTGTGAAAATTGAGCAGCTAGTATAGAATGATCTGGCAAAGTGGTTAGTAATGATGAAAACATAAAGGTTATTATGAAGGTAAACTGCAGATATCTAGACCTAATGCATCTTTACATGGCTGTTGTGGTTTTTCTTTCTTTAGTGTACTAAGAGCCCTAGATAAAAATATGTCGCCTTCATACGTAAACTAGAATCAATTTAGTATAGAGTGCAGGGTAGAGATACTTTCTCTTGAAATTTTGGAAATGTTCCCTTTTGTCTGACCTTTATTTTTGTGGACGTGTCTGAGGCTAGCATACTTTTGTTCTTTCATGAAACCTTTTTAAATTTTTTTTTTTTTTTTGTCCTGCCTTGGAGCTTAGACTAATAATAATAACAACAATAAAACAACAGCATACGGCCCTTGTAGTTCAGTTTGCTAAGTTATGTCTTGTTCGGGTCTATTTTCATTAATTTTGTCTGGAACACAGTAAGTCCTTGTGATCCATATACTGAAGTATTGTTTTCATTTCAGGAAAGTTTACTTCAGTTCTGATTTTGATTATTGCTTCAGTTCCATTTATTTTCATTTCTTCAAAGAAACCCAATAATACTTAGGCTGGAGGCAGTTACCATGCAGAGGCTGAGAGCATGGCTGTGTATCCCGCCTGTCCGGGCGGGATTTCCGCTCCCCTGCCCTGGGCTGGGCTCACTGCTTGCCCCCACCCCCCACCCCCACCCCCAGCATCTCCATTTCCTTAGCTGGGCAGTGGGCACGCCGGGAGGTCTGCATGAGGATGTTGTGAGGTGCTGGATATATGGCGAGCCCTCCAGGTGTATGTTAACTGTTTTTATTGCTAACCGTGCATGCCTTTTTAATTTTATTTAAAAAAAATTTATTTTAACATTTGTTTTTGAGAGAGAGAGAGAGAGAGAGAGAGAGAGAGAGAGAGAGAGGGAGCGGGGGAGGGGCAGAGAGAAAGGGAGACACAGAGTCCGAAGCAGGCTCCAGGCTCTGAGCTGTCAGCACAGAGCCTGACGCCGGGCTTGAACCTGTGAACTGTGAGATCATGACCTGAGCCAAAGTCAGGTGTTCAACCAACTGAGCCACCCAGGCACCCTAGTGAATGATTAATTCCCTCCTTAACCCATTGTAGACTGGCCTTTTCCCCTCCTCGCATTATTGTACCGGAACTTTTCAAGGAAAGAGGGTGACTGGGTAAGCACTATTCACCCTTCTTTTGAAAATATGCAGGTTGTAAGGAAAATCGGTCCTATTGTGTGACACACACATGTGTGTACTTTCATTTCTCATTATTTTTATCCTGCTCACTTCTCTGGAGTGGGGGAGACTTTCTTGTCTGTTTCCTTTGCTGATTTGCTTTTATCCCACTGTCCATTTTGCCTTAGGGAGTAGAGTTTTGCTCCATCTCGGATTTTTAATTTTCCTGAAATCTTTCTCTTGCTTCCAGCTCTATTTTCATATCAGCCAGACATATATTTAATTAAACAAAAAAATTTACAACTTGTTGTATGTCTTAGAGTGCCGGGCAGTGCAGTCTAATGGTTAGGAATGAAATTCTGCCACATGGTAGCCATGTGAGTGCAGGTAAGTTATTGTCATCTCTCCGTGCCTCAGCCTGTTTCCTTCTCTATAAAATGGGAATAACCATGGCACTTGCCTCAGTGATGATTGGAAATAAGTGAGCTAATACTTATAAATCGTTTGGAATAGTATCAGGAACAGAAGAAACACGTAGCAATTGCCAGCTATTATGATCCTGTCTTTCCGCTCCAGACTCATGAAGGCCTTTTCTTCTTATTGAAGTCACCCAATGGTTTTGTAGTTTCCTTTCTTTGCTGGTTACTAGTAAACACTTGTAAAAGCATGCTTCATCTCCCTCCGAGTCGTTGGAATGGCATTCTGCGATATCCTTTTTAGAGACCTCGTGTCCATTTTGTATTGCTTGTTTATCCAGTCCAGAATGAGGAGAAGAGCTCTTTCTGAATGTGGGTTGGCAAACACGTTCTGGGTCTGATTGCTCTCAGCCCAGCCTGTTACCATTTTGGGTAGCTCCGCACAGGGGCCTCATGAAGGAGCTTGATTTCCTCTGACCAGAGGGAGTCAGTTTAAGGCAGCCCCGCCAGCGACAGCCTCTGCTGTCCTCTCTCCCGGGTCTCTGACACTCTCCGCGGGCGGAGAAAATGAAAACCAGCTACCTCCTCTGTGATGGTCTCTTCAGCCACCACCCTAGATGAAATGGCAGCTTACATGTTCATCCCTGTTCTAACCTGACCCGTTACTGTTTGGAACCTGGGGTTTGAGAAAGGCCATTTCTCAGGAGGTTTTCTGATACTCTGGCTACCTCATTCGTGGTTCTCCTACATCAGATGGGCTGTCACCCGTTTTCTGGTTGACAGATCTGTAGAGCTCCATGCTCGAGTGGAGAAGAATACACAACTTCCTTATCGATTCGTGAGGATAGGCTTTCTTGACTTCAGGCAGTAAAACACATACCACATCTCCTCCGTGGTCCCCATACGGCCACCAAAGAGATGGTCTGGAGTTAGTGAGAACTCCTCCAGGACTGCAGTAGATGGACTCTACGGCCAAGTGTTCAGAACTTTGTTTTTCTTCGTTAGGTATTTTTTGTGACTAGTTGGGGGAGGTTGTTGGGGAACACCATTTTTAAAAAAAATTTTTTTAGTGTTTGTTTATTTTTGACAGAGAGGGAGACAGAAGATGAATGGGGGAGGGAGGGAGAGAGAGAGGGAGAGAGAGAGACACACACACACAGAATCTTGAAGCAGGCTCCAGGCCCCGAGCTGTCAGCCCAGAGCCCAATGCGGGGCTCAGACTCACAGACCGTGAGATCACGACCTGAACCGAAGTCGGACGCTCAACTGACTGAGCCACCCAGGCGTCCCAAAGGACACCATTTTCAAAGGGAGCCCCGCAATTTTAACCTTTAATTCTATGATCCTTATTTGGGATGAGATCTTCCTTAAAGCCAAAACTGTCTAGGCAGACATTGAACAGGTTCCTTTCACAGATGAGTATGATATTTAACAGGCAAGATGGCAAAATAAATCAAGAGGGAGAGAGAAAAAATGAGTAAAAACGGTTTTGGATTTTATTGGCTATCGTAGTGTGATTGTGACTGAGTTTCGCTTGTTATATTAGTGAAGTGAACCAAAACATCGAGGGTTTTACAAATCACCCTGCTTGTCCCGATCAAGTTAGGAGATTTGTCTCAAGAAGTTACAGTGTTCTTCCATACTGAAAGAGAAAATACAGTTATTTGACCAAGAGATGATTCAATTAAACACAGCAGTAGAGACTGACCCCAGAGTTCTAGTCTGACCTCTTTTCTGTTGATTCCCCCCCTTATTGGTCTACTATTACATCTTCAGTATTGGTCCCTAATGTTTAAAGGGGCACTTATCCCTGGTAATTCATCACTTATTTCACCATTAGATTCACAGTCCTGATATATATCTTCTCATTTACTGATGCCTCCATCTTTTTCAGTGGGTTCATACATCATTTATTTACATCTCATGTACTTTTCCCCACAGTAAAAATCACCTGCGGGCGCCTGAGGGGCTCAGTTGGTTGGTTATGTGTCTAACTTCAGCTCAGGTCACAATCTTGCATTTCTTGGTTTCAGGCCCCACGTCGGGCTCTGTGCTGACAGCTCAGAGCCTGGAGCCTGCTTCGGATTCTGTGTCTCCCTCTCTCTCTATCCCTCTCCTGCTCTGTCTCTCAAAAATAAGTAGACATTTAAAAAATTAGGAAAAAAAAAAAAGTCCCCTAACCTTTGTTCTTAAAATCACCTTTAGCCTGTTGTAGCCACAAGGAAGTTGATCCATTTGAATAAAAAGTCTGCTCCGTTTCGTTTCAGCTTTTTATCACAGTTGTCTAATTCAGAGTCTGACATTCACCTTTACTTAAGTTTGGTAAACATTTGAGGCTTTTGAATGGTATTTTCCTGTTCCACTTTTCTTATACTTTATGCAGAAAGATCTCTTATTTCCATATTTTAGGCTATCTCATATAATGTTAGTGTGTAAGAGAATAGGGTATGAAACACTCATCTTGTTCTTTGTGGCCTTGGCCAAGTCACTTATTTTTCTGCACACTCCTCTTTTAAGCAGGCATAATGGTGTTTGCAGTCCATACCTCGTGGTGTTGCTTAAAGGACCAAATGAGGCAGAGCAGGATTTTCAGTGCTAGCTACATAATTCCAGTTGTGGACCTTTTAAAATACCATTTCACTTCACCAGAACTGTTTGGTTTATCTAGGGTGGGGTCTTGCCATTAGTTTCCAGGGATCTTAACTGTGGAGTAATGATAATTCCCTCTAAACAATGAGAAGCAAGGTGGTGGGGGGGCATGCCTGAGGTTATCGTGTCAATAATGCGTCCTAAGGACTACCTCAGGGTAAATCCAATTCCCTCTCTGTCATATCGTACCATATGCTGTTGTTGGAACCCAAATAACATACTTGGCACAGGTTATAAAAACAGCAGGCCCAAAATGAGTGTCCTGAAAATTTTATCTCTTACCGAATGAATTTGTTTCCATAATTATGTCGTAAGTTTTCCTCTTTGAACTTGCAAAAATGAACCACTCACAACTTACTAAGATGAAAACAAGAAATCAGAAGTCTGAATAGTTTTATCACTGTTTAAACATTTGGATGTGTAATTATTTTCTCACATAGAGCCATCCAACCTAGATAGCTTCACCAGTGAATCCTTACAAATTAAAAAAATAATACCACTCTTCTAGAGACTGGAGACAGAGTGCACACATCCCAGGTGTTGGGAAATAGTTCGTGCACACATCCCAAGTGTTGGGAAATAGTTCTAAGTGCCCCTAACGGTTAGCTCCAAGTGTTTGAGAGCTCCTGGAATCTTAAGCCCTGTTTGGTAAGAGTGTAAATTGATCAGAACCACTTTGTGAAATGGTTTGGCTGTTTATTAAAAGTGAACAGATGCATAGCCTATGGCAACAATTCCATTCCTACTTACGTATACCCTTCATAAATGTGTACCTAAGTGCACCAAAAAATTTGTAAAGAGTGTTCATTGCATGCAGCTTGTTTATAATAGCCCCGATCTGGACACAACCCAAAGGACCAACAAATGGTAGATACATGTATTGTGCTGTATTCACACATTGAAATACTATACAGCAATGGCAGACAACCAGGCACTGCTATCCACAACAGTCTGGACACATGTTACAAGGAAGATGTTGAGTGAAAGAAGCCAGTGAAATAGTTTGATTGTATTTATAAAAAATTCAAACATCAGGACAGCTTCTCTGTGGTGATAGACTTCAGGGTGGTGGTTAATTTGTGAAGGTGTTACTAAATGGGAAGGAACACAAAAGTGCTTCTTGGGCTCTGCCTCTTGATCTGGATGGTGTCTGGAGGGGTATGTTTATGTCGAAAAAATTTGTCAAGCTGTAAATTTGTGATCCGCACCCTTTGCGGTATGGATATTAATCAGTTTTTAAGTAAACCACTCAGAAAAGAGATTAAGTATGAATAAAGTACGGTAGTCTTGAGCAACTTCAAGGGAGGCAGTGATAAGTAGAAACTTAAATCTTACATTTATACACTCTCAGTAGATTCAACATAAGATTATAAATGAAGTGCAGATCACCTAATCTCTTGCCACATTGATCTGCATGTTTGATTTATGTATGTATGACTCAAAAAAGAAGCACCTATTTCCTTCAGGAAAAGGAAGAAAACAGTTCCTTTAGGGATAGCCTATGGAAGTTCATAAAAGAATATTAATAAATGATTCATAACTATTTCATTTTTAAAAGTTGGCATCCCTTTAATAAATTAAATTTGTGGTGAGTAAAGGGAACCGTGTCCACGAGATGCTTATGAAAGCTTAATTGCGTTGGAGTACTCCCACCCTGATAGAATTGTTTTCATTGGATATTTGATAGAGATCACAAGGGCCCTAGATTATTAAATATTCTACTTTTTGTTAATCAATAGTATGTGTTCTCACTGACTCAGCAGCCTTCTTTGTTGCCGTCCTGGTGAACTGACCGGATCCATTTTACTTTTTAGGTGCAGGTGTTTGGACTATATTCTGGAGAAGAATTTCATGAGACTTTTGACTGTCCCATTAAAGTAAGTATTCAGTAAGTTTTAATTTTTCTAAGGATTTTCTCAACAAAGCCGTAAGGATTATAATACTTTGAGCACTATCCGTCTCCCATCAATTTCATCACTGAGCGTCTCTTCAGCACTTCGAATGTACTAGATACTATTTGATGGTATTAGAAGAGCATAGGATGTGTCTTATGTGACTGTGATCTCAGGCTATCCTCAGGAATTTTTTTTTTTTGTAGTGAGTGAGATGATACATACAAACACCCAGTCTGTCGTTAATGACCCAAAGTGGTAAAAACAATATTAAGGAGTCCAAAGCCGAGAGAAGTTACTTCTAGCTGTTCTTGGCGGTGATGGCTTCACAGGGGGCGTGATGTTTGAGTGAGCTTTAAGAAATGGACAGGGCAGACAGAGAAGCTGGCTTTCCATGTGGAAGAACGATATAATACAAACGGAGAGGGCAGAAAGTTCAAGTTGTGTTCAGGAAGTGGCAAAAATGGCCTCGTTTAGATGGCGCATAAAACACGGACTTGGCAGGAGAGCCATAGAGGCAGATTGGGGCTGGCTGTATTTTCAGGCGAAGGAATTTGGACTCCGTGTGGTAGATAAGGAGAAATTATTGAATGTGTAAGAGCAGAGAAGTGACATAAACTGAGCTAAGCTTAAGGAAAATTAATACGGTGACTATATACAGTATAGATTGGAGGGATGATAGGCGCGCGAGGCAGCAGGAACAGTCTTAGATAACAGTTATGGCCCTTAAAGTGACGATTAGAGTTGTTGAAGGAATAGGTCATTCGTTGTTTTCACTTGTTTATTCAAACACTTATTGATCAACAGGTAAAGGAGAGATAGGATCTGATGTGTGTTTTAGGAAGGCAGCTCTGCCGGAGTGGAGGGTGATTTAAGCAGGAGAGGGATTGCAGGCAAAAGGCAATTTAGAAGGCTCATGCTGTCCTGGAGACAGGGCATCACGGGGTCTCAGTGACAGGAGCAGTCGGGAGCGTTCAAGGTGGAGTCGAAGACGTGAAGGCGGAAAGCCTTTAGGAGGTAGACTTCGCAAGCCTTTGTGTTGGGTTGGATGGGGTGACGAGAGAGGGAGGAGCTGGCCCTTGGCTCTGGCCGTGGTGTGTGGCGATGCCACCACTTGCAAGAAGGGATGATTTGAATAAGGACGTTGCTAATTTGGTCTTGAGTTCAGATAACTGTGGTGTATCTGGTGGAAACGGTGTGGAGGTGTTGGAGACATGAGTGCAGAGCGCAGGGTAGAGACTGGCCCTAAAAACACAAAGTTGATACTCGTTGAGTAAGATGAAACCATCATTCAAAATCTCATCCAGTTAAAAGCTAACAAGCTGGCAGAGAAGACTGGGAGGGGACTGGCTCAGTGGAGAGCAAATGAGGAACTTCGGCTGCAGGGAAAGGGGCACGTCCTGCACGGTCAGTTCTGTAAGTGCGGTCCTGCAGCCCCGTTGTCTCCCACTGACGGAGGCTTGCTGTGACGACCCTAAATGCCTTTGAGGCTGCGTTGCCCCACCTGTTCCACTTGGTGCCCTCAAATCACTGGTGGGCATCCCGAACGAGGAGACAGCTGGGTTCTCTCTCTGGGTTTCTTCAGCTCATGGTGTTCAGTTACAAACATTTGTGACCTCTTGCTGCCTCGATTGACCCTAAAGAGGGGATGTGCACTCAGAGAGTCCTCACGCAGCCAGAAACTAGAACGAACTCACTCCTGTCTTTTAGCTTTCACCTGGCTTTCCAGAAGAGCAAAAACTCCGATGTCCTCAGTTGCAGACTGTTGCTTGAAGAGACCACTTCTTACCTAGATCTCAGGATAAGTTTTAGATCCTGCTGCCTGTAATGCATAAAGGGTTTTCATTCTGTGGGTTGGTTTTCATTCTGTGCGTTAATGGTGGCTCCTTAACCAGTGATGGGTCCTTGTTCCTTGTAGATCATTGCTGTGAACCCGCATTTTGTGAGGACCAGCTGCAAGCAATTTGTGACTGGAGGGAAGAAGGTAAATGCTTTGGTCTACCGTCACATGCCGTCTTGGGGTAGAGGGTGGAGATTCTGTGTGCTTTTTAATTTATCTGTAATATTTTTAACATCTGACTATTCAGTAGGAGGAATTGTGAGAAAGACTGATGGGGTGAAATTCTAAGCCCATCATCTCTCTGAGGAGATGTGATTCATGCCTGTCAACGATACTCCGTTGTAGTAGGTAAAGGGCAAGGAAAAAAAAGGGGTGCCTGGCTGGCTCAGTCAGTTAAGCATCCAGCTCTTGATTTCTGCTCAGGTCATGATCTCACAGCCCCCATGTTGGGCTCTGTGCTGACAGCGCAGAGCCTGCTTGGTCTTCTCTTTCTCTCTGCCCCCACCTCTCAAAAGTGAATAAATAAACATAAAAACAAAAGGAAAGAGAGAGCTGTTACTGGAACTGCCTAGTGCTTTGAAATGTCCCTTCCACAAAAAAGGAGGTAGCATTTAAAAATAACAAAAAGAAATGGGACTCCTGGGTGACTCGGTTGAGCATCTGACTTCGGCTCAGGTCATGATCTCACAGCTTGTGGGTTTGAGCCCTGCATCGGGCTCTGTGCTGACAGCTCAGAGCCTGGAACCTGCTTCGGATTCTGTCTCTGTTTCTCTGTGCCCCTCTCCTACTCACGATCTGTCACTCACTCCTTCTCAAAGATTAAAAAAATACATATATATTAAAAAAAATAACAAAAGAGCGATTAAACTTATGTTTTTCCACTTATTGTAGAAATCTCTGGCAGGCCTTGATAAAGTTTTAGAACAATTATGGCTATTTCTTTACTGACCTGTTTCTGACATATTTCATGATCTTAGTGCTGTTTTAAAAAATAAGGGAGTGAAATAATCCTTGTATATGTTTACATGTTTGTTTACAGACATAGTAAATTCTAAAATTAAAGAATCTTTCTGCTTATGGAACAAATCAAGTTAATTGTCTTCTGGTTTTTATTAAATGGTGTGTATTAAATGGTATTTAACCATTTTTATAACAAAACGCTGTCACGGTACTGAAACAGTGAATATTAACTTCATACGCAGTTTCGAGCTCAGTGATGATGAGGTAGTCTGCAGTTATTTCCGTTGTAGTGCACGCCTACGGAATGGCACCGTGAGGCTCAGCCACCAAAGGGTTTTTGAGAGTTTCATGGTAGTTGTCTGTTGTTTTCCCCTGGTTTTGCTGCTTCCTAGACTGATAGGGCAGGAAAGCATCCTGGTCCATACCCAGCATTTCTCAAGCCCTGGTTTTAGCTCATCATAGTGGCTGAGTGATGGGTCCCATAGATCCCCGATTCCATCCCACCACATGAAGCCGGCATTGCACCAGCTCTGATTTCTGGTTGTGAGCCAGCCAGCTTGCCAGCTCCCGCCCTCTCCAGTTCATCATTATCCTTAGGCTGTACCCTCATTAGCCTCACATAAAAATATGGGATCAACCGGTGGGAATTACGGATTTAATCTAACATTCTTTAGCTTAGATCTGCAGCTGATTCACTCCTGAACAATACAAAACAAAGCAAACAAACAAACAAAAAACTATCTTACTTGTCTTTGCTGACCTCAGGAAGGAGCAGCTTTAAAATTCCTCTATTACAGTATTTCTTTATGAAATACTTCTCTAGTTAAAAATTTTTAGGTGAGATATAGCATAAATTCACTAAGCTGTAATTTAAACCCACACATTTTTATTTAAAACTCAGTGGGGATAAAAAATGCTGAGTATTCTTTTGTGTGTTTGTTTTTTAAGCGGCTTAAAACAACAAACTTTTACTGTCTCACAGTTCAGAAAAAAATCACAGAGTGGTTTACTTCTGTAGTGCTGCCTCAGATTCTCTCCCTAGGCTTCAGTCTGCATTTTGGCTGGGGCTGCTGTCATCTGAAGGCTTGACCGGGGCTGCGGAATCGGCTTCATCTGCCTTCTTAATAATAATCCTCAGATACTTAAAATTGATAAATCACTTTGGTGTAAGTATTTTCCTAGTGTAGAATGCGGTTTTGTGTTCCAGTTTCCAATTTTAGGAGTTAGGAAGTTCACACTTGTCTCCTATTTCTTGGAGGTCTTGGTATGAAAGAACATATCAGAGATAATAGGAGTGGTGATGTCCAAATGGTAGGACTCAAACTCTGAAGGTGGAATTTTTCTGTGTTAATTTGTGTACTTAATGATCAGGTTATTCATGAAGGTTAATTAATAGTTGCTTTTATACTGTGAGGGATATCTGTGGTCTCATCAAGTCTGCCACAGTTGTCTTGGTACATGGATGTTTTGCCAACCTGCAGGATGCCTGGGTGAACTGTGCCAATCACATACTCTTCATCCTTCTACTTAGCATGTGTAGGAAGGATAGTGTGACTGTGGCTGTTCGGGCCAGAGCTCCTTGAGTAGATGCATGAGCATCCTGCAGACACCCTAGTCCAACCTCCAAGTGCAGATAGAGTGATTTGGGAAAAGTGGAATTGATACAAAGATGAACATTGTGATGGGCTGTGTAATTAGAATTCACCAGATGCTGAGCAGGCAAGAACATCAGGGGTTTGGTTCATCTCTTTGGTTATCATGGTTAATGTGTTAAATTAAAAGTGTTAATGTGTCAAGGGCTCAGTATATTGGGGTTGACAAAAGTGTATGTTATATTTTGATGTGAAGAATACTATGATTACACATGCCATTGTAAGTGATATTAAATCAATTTGTTTTAGGTTTTTAACAGCTTTATTGATATATAATTTGCATACCATAAAATTAACAGTTTCAAGTGCACAGTTCGATTGTCAACTTTTCCAAAGTGGCTGCACCGTTTTACATTCTCATTAGCAATACATGAAGGTTTCAGTTTCTCCACATTCTCACCAACATTCACTTTTATCTTTTTGATTCTAGTCAACTGGGTGTGAAGTAGTATGTCACTATTTTGTTCTGATTTCCATTTTCCTAATGGTTTTCATGTGCTTATTTGTCCATTTGCATATCTTCTTTGGAGAACTCTCTCTTCAGATTCTTTGCCCATTTTTTGATTGGGATATTTGTTTTTGTGTATACTTGCAGAAAATATTTTTATGTATTGTTCATACAAGTCCTTTATTGATATATGATTTGCAAATATTTTCTCCTAGTCTGTGAACTGTCTTTTCACATTACTGATGGCATCCTGTGAGGTACTGAAGTTTAGATTTTATGAAGTTCCATTAACTACCCCCACCCCCAACACACACACACTTTTTTGTTTGTTTTTGACACTTACGCTTTTGGTGTTGTATGTAAGAAATTATTGCCTGATCCAAGGTCATGAAGATTTATGCCTGTGTTTTTTTTTTCCTAAGAGTTTCATAGTTCTAACTCTTAAATTTAGGTCTAGAATTTGAGTTAATTGTATGTATGGTAGGAGGTAAGGGTCCAAATTCATTTATTTGCAAATAAATGGATGTCCAGTTGTCCCAGCCTCGTTTGTTGAAAAAGTTATTCTGTTGCCGTTGTCTTGGCCTCCGTCAAAAATCAGTTAACCATAAATGTTAGAATTTATTTCTTGACCGAGTTTTATCAATCTGTATATTTATCCTTGTGCCAATTTAGGCTTTAGAATCCCTAATTTTGCTGAGATTATTTATAGGATGATAAACAAATTAGCTGCTCTTAAAACATTTTGATTTTGAGTTCTCTCTCTTTAAAAAGCCATCATAATTTCTCCTATGTATATTAGAGGCTTAAACATTATTTTTTTTTTTAATTTTTTTTTTTTAACGTTTATTTATTTTTGGGACAGAGAGAGACAGAGCATGAACGGGAGAGGGGCAGAGAGAGAGGGAGACACAGAATCGAAAGCAGGCTCCAGGCTCTGAGCCATCAGCCCAGAGCCCGACGCGGGGCTCGAACTCACGAACCGCGAGATCCTGACCTGAGCTGAAGTCGGATGCTTAACCGACTGAGCCACCCAGGCGCCCCAGAGGCGTAAACATTATTATGTAAATGTATCTTCCATTCAGGGACTTGTAACATACACACTATTGACTGATTTCTCTGGATCCCTTAAGTTTCTTATATAAATATGTATTAAGCAGTAAAAAAGTAGTGTTTATTCAATAAACTATAATGATATCTTTGTACACAGTTAAATAACTAGGGATTTCCATAATGTGCACCACTTTGGTGCAGTTTGCAGAAATCTCTAGAGGGATTTCCTCCTCCGTGTGCATGGTATGCAATTTTAAAGATCCCTTATGCTGAATGGTTTTGGCATTGGTGTGCTTTGTTGTAAAACACACTAGGTTGAAAACATTTCAGGAAATATTTCTAATTTCGTTAAAGAATATAGCTTTGATTTTAAAAACTAAGAAAAAGGCCTTGAGAAGGTGACATTAAAAAGGGGGCACTATTGGGGAACCTGAGTGGCTCAGTAGGTTGAGCGTCTGACTTTGGCTCAGGTCATGATCTCACAGTAAGTGGGTTCAAGCCCCGCATCAGGCTCTGTGCTGACCGCTTACTCAGAGCTGCTTCAGATTCTGTGTCTCTTTCTCTCTCTGCCCCGCCCCCACTCACGCTTTGTCTCACTCTGTTTCTCAAAAATAAATAAATGTAAAAATTTTTTTAAAAAAAGGGGGCACTACTATGAAATGATCATTTCCATTTTAAAAGTGTTGGCAAGTTTTTAGAAGGATCTGTTTTTTTTTTTTAATATAACCAAGTTATGGCATTTTATACCTTTGAAAAATGAGAAAAACAGGACAACATTGGCCCAGTTGCAACTCTGATCTTTCCAAGTGCAGTTTCAACTAGCACCATAAACTAAGCAGAGCAAGTTTGAAGAGTCCAGCACTGAGCAAATGGTGATGACCTTGCAGTGATCATATATTGTAGATATTGAGACCTCTCCGTTTAGAACACATAGCAGATCCTATAGAGAGAAAAGAGAGTAAAGACAAGTATCATGTAACTGAGAGGTTATGACCTTCCACCTTTAAAAGAGAAATTATTCTAGCCGGATGAAG